GGTACTAGTGATGTTGGTCTAGAAATAAATGCAGGAAAGACAAATAAATTGATAATGTCTCGGCATCAGAATTCAGCACAGAACCAGAATATACAGGTAATTAATGAATTGTTAAAAAATGTGACAAAATTCAAGTACTTGGAAACAACAGCAACAAGTCAGAATGATGTTTATGATGAAATCAACAGCAGATTAAATTCAGGGAATTCATGCTATCATTCATTCCAAAATGTTTTGTCCTCCCATCTCATATCAAATAACCAAATATTAAAATATACAAAAGTTTAATTTTGTCATTTGTGCTGTATGGGTGTGAAACTTGGTTTCTTACATTGAAGGAGGAACATAGATTGAGGGTCTTTGAGAACAGAGTGTTGAGGAGGAGAAAATTGTATAATGATGAGCTTCATATCCTGTACTCCTCACCTGATATTGTTAGCATGATTAACTCAAGGAGGTTGAGGTGGGCTGGATATGCAGCAGGCATGGGTGAGGGGAGGGGTATTTACAAGGTATTGGTTGGGAGGCCTGAATGGAGGAGACTGCTAGGAAGACCTAGGTGTAGGTGGGAGGATAACATTAAGATGGACCTTAGGAAGAAAGAAATCAATGTGTGAACTGGATGCAGCTACCCTAGGATAGGTGGTGGGCTTTTGTGAACACAGTGATGAACCTTTGGTTTCCATGAAGAAAGTGGGCTATTATTTGAGAAAAGGAGCATGCAATCGACTTTTCAAAGAATTTCCTGCACCATAAAGTGAGTGAGGATAATATTAAAATGGACCTCAGAAAAATTTAATGTGAATGTGTGGCTGGATTCACCTGCCTTAGGATAGGGTCCAGTGGTGGTGCTTGTGAACACATGATGAACTTTTGTGCCACATAAAACATGGGGATTTTCAGGACCAGATGAGCTACTATTTGCTTCTCAAGAAATACTCTGGTAAGTGGAGTGAGTTAGGATAGGTTTTGCCAGAAGACTTGTTTATTTGTAACCTTGAACATTGTTGGATTCTCCTAATTCTGAATTGCCTGTAGGTTACAAGGAAAACGTCATGACAGCTGAAGCAATACAGAAGGTTGCACTCAAGTCTCAGAAACGAAAGGAATTGGCTGATGAGAAGAGGGAAAAGGACAAGGTAATATGATGTTTGTGTAGTAAATACTTACATGTGATGCATATGTACAAATATATCCTCATTATAAGCTGCTACAGCATGTACATAGAACACCACTAATAGATTGGTAAACTGCGTATATAAGCATAATAGTGAAGTTCTGGTACAATAATCCTGTTTTACAGCAATACTTCTGTATAAAAATTCATCAGTTAAGTCATATTTGCTTATGTTGTTATGCTTCTCCCAACATTATGTTTTTCATACTGTTGCCATTTACATTCTTGCTCACATTTTCTAAAGTTCTGGGACTTACCATGCACCTTTCTTTTGATGGTCTTCTGGGTATGCCTATGTGGATGCTATTGCATTTTTAATTCAAATAGTCCCTCAGTTTCTCACGGAATTATCAGTCTTTAACAGAACCTGAAAGTACATTATAAGAGACTGCTACTGGATTCTGTCTTTAACCAGTTTAATTCAGTTCATATCCTTACAGTCTGTTTCTGTAAGATCCATATTAATATTATCTTAATATGTACCAAATTATAAAGCTCATGGTGTGGTTTACTTTGTACTCCTCTTACTTCCTCTGTGTTAGGTTCTAGTACACTCATGTGCACCCTGTTTTCATATACTATCAGTTCATGTCTTCCTTTAAGGCAATAGACAAACCATATGAAACAATTGGTAAAATTATTCTTTTATGTATTCAAGTCTTTACATTTTCAGTAATGTGTGATAAGACATAAAGATTCTGAACTGAGTGGTAGCAGGCATTGCCCATATTTAACCTGTTCATAATGTTCTTGTGATTGCAATTTCTTATTATTGTCATTCCCAATTATTTGTACTTTACTGAGTTCTTGAAGGTTCTCCTCTGTTGTGGGTATGAGCCTTGATCATATTCTTTTTAACATTAAAGTTACTATTATTGTTACTGCATTTTTGGACATTGTCCATTGTCTGCTGTTTTATATTTAAATCTATGTCCACATAACTGCAAATTCCTATGGTCTGCAGCGCTTTTGCCTCTATATCCATCATATATTTATCACACTATATATCACTCAAATACTTGAGAGATATTTTAGAATTACCAAGACATTGTTTTTAGCAATGAATTTTGGACAACTAAGAAGTATGATGCCAGTGTAAAATTTCTTGAAAGTTGATTGTTTATGCCAACGTAACTGATATGCGGCACTTAGTGAATGAGCTAGGGTTGCTTAGTCAGTATAGTGTCTGACTACAGACTGGATGACCAGGGTTTGATCACCAGTAGGGGCTAAGGATTTTCTTCTAGCCCCTGCATCCAGACTGGCTCCAGCCTCCTATCCAATGGTACTGGAAGCCCTCTTCTTCGGAATAAAGTGTGGCTGGGGCATGACGCTGACCTCTCACCTTCGCATCTAGTGCAAAGGTTAAGAATGAGTTGGAGCTATACCTCCTCTGTCCAAGTGCCTCCATGGTGTGTGGTGGGACAGCTTTACTTTAACAGTAGACTATCATAAATCTCAACCATACCTTGAGAATCATGAGACTCCCCTTGCCCCTGACTCTGTACCTACCTCTGCTAAGTAATGTATGTGGTTTCATGTATGGTACATTTCAGACATTGAAAGGTTGGTAATACAAAACTCAGTGAACTATAAAATTTGTGATTTTAGAAAAAAAACCATAGAGAGGTTGCTGAAGAAACAGGAATCAAAGGCTGGGAAGAGCAGTAACAGACCACGATCTGCTCGAAAGCAGGTTTCTTGGGTGACATACCATAATACTGTGGATGGTATTAGCATATCACTCCCTTCAGGTGTGGATTTCTCTCTGCATTCACAGACTACTACAGAGTAAGTAAGGACTTGTTATTTGGCTAGTTGAACATGGGTTCCTTTTACTCTGTGTGTGGGTGTCTTTGTAATTCATTATGTTATTGTGTGATAGGTATTGTAAAATAATTATGAGGTCTGAAAGTTGGTGCATACAAAACACAATAAGTTACTGCCATTAAAAGTGAATGTCTCAGTAAAGTGATGTGTTTAGATTTTAAATAATTTCCTTGGAAATGTTCCTCCCATCTGTGATAATACTACTGATGATTTGTTTAATTTTTATTTATGGTTGCTAAAATTATAATCATTATGTATACTCAATGGAGTATTGTTAAATGATGTCGTGGATTGAATTCATATTGCTCAGGATGGAGACTGGTGGTGGACTCTTGTAAAATGCTGTTGAACCTCAGGGTTGCATAAAACCAGGGAATTTCTTGCCTGTGAACTTTACAAACACTACACTTTCTATGGAGTTAATGACACATTAACATTAGCAGTTTCTTCATGACTTTTACTGTTAGGCATCTCTGTTTTGGGAATATTGTATCTATTAATACAAGTGGCTCATTACTCCTAATATTTATGTCATGAAATTATGTCTTTGCTGTTGCTGGTCATAACATTCTAAAGAAATTGTACCAGGTTCTATTTAACATAGCATGTGCATAGAAGTGAAAGAGGGAATATTCTGACTGTTAATTTAATTGCTGAACTGGGCACCATTGTTTTGAGTTTTTGTTACATTCTTTATAGGATCAGACTGACAGTATTGATTGAAAAACAGAATACACTTCTGTAAACAAAGAGAATGACGTTGTCTTTCATTTGTCAGTACCTAAGTTTAACAAGCACAGAACAAACAGTAGATTACTTCTCTTTCAAATCCCATACTGTGACAGGTGAACTTGCTGTAGTGATTAATTTTTTAAAATGTAGTTTCAAGAGCTAGAATTTTGTTCATTACATGTTATACTTATCCCATTCTTTACTGAAATATGTTAGATCAGACACACCAAACTCAAAGTCTACCAAGGGTCAATAAGAGGGGACTGTTACAAGAGCCACCACATTGGTTGGAAAAATTATAACCTCCTACTTCTACTACATACAAGTTTGAACTTCATGTATGTTCATTGTTCCACTATTTTTCCACAAGCACACATAAATATTAATTTAATTTAAACACATTTATACTATATTAGTTGCAATATAAAATAGCAGTATGTAAGTTGGAATTTTAAATATATTTGAAACTTTAAAACTTAATATTTATTTGGGTAGAGAGTGGGACTAGTTTCTTATCACCACATTGATAACCTTCTACAAGATGGTGAAAAATAGTGCAGATATTGAAAAAAACAAGTGTTTTTAATCTGAGAAGATAAAACCTTGTAAGAAAACTACAGACTTTAATGGGGCTTGTTTTCCATTTGTAAGGGATTCTTACTCTGTCTTATATGTATGTGCATTGGTGGAGGGGACAGGAACTCTGGCGGCAAGCACCGAAACATTTTGCAAAGTGAATTTAATGTAATTTCTTCCATCTATATGAATTAATGCTATTTGTTTAGAACAGTGCACTGAGAAATCTGCCATTGGAAGAATTATTTGTGAAAATATGACAAATCTTAGTGCCATGCTAGTTTGACTTACTTAAAATATTTGAAATTATTCTAATATAGTATGTAGGATACATATTGTACAGGATATTATGCCACATCTTTGCCACTTCATGTCATTAATAAATTCACCAATAACTTAAAAAAACTAAGTGAATTCAACATTAAACATGTTTAAAATGCAGGATGTTTTTTCAGCCATGGAACCTTTGTATTTTTTATCAAAAATACTTGGACTGGCTCCATATTCTTATGTTCAGTCTAAAAATGGATCATATGTTATCAAAACCTCTAGTATGCTCAGTATTATGTGGAGTTTGGTAGTATCTCTACTTGTACTGGGATTATTCATTCATATTTTGTTATTCAAATTTTGTACACTTTCACCAAGTCTTGCAGCAAGTTATGTAATCATTTTTGGTTTTCAGAAAATATTGCTCCTGGGAAGTTGTGTCACATTTCCTTTCTTAGGAGCAACAACAAACAGAAGCAAGTTAAAAATAATTATGGAGAATTTATCAACAATTGACAAGTTTCTACTAAGAAATATTTCAGGAAACACATATAAGGGAGAATTTTACTTTCTGATCTTCCAAATTCTGCTTATAATTGCAGTTCTGATTGGTATGTTTTATTATTATGTATCTATCACTTCAAATTTTCAAAATATTATGTTTGCTGTTTACTATGTGGTGATCTTATTAATTAACAGTGTAGGGTTAATTCAGTTTCTATTTCTACTGCAAATTTTGAAATTGAGTTTAAAGAGAATAAGTGAAGAATTAGAAATGCTGGAAATTAACTGTGAGACAACCACCAAATTCTTCAAGCTCAGAAATATTTTGGGTGAAAATCTATGGAAAGATGAACAGTGTTGCAACATTCTTACTCTGAGTTCTCTTCATTTCAAGATATATGAATCATCACAAATTGTTAACACAAGCTATGGCCTGCTGATGCTGATAGAAACATCTCATAACTTTGTCTCGATAGTGAGCCTTGTGGATATCACACTCATTCTATTGGGCAGGAAATGATACATAATTACAGTTGTATGCCATATTTGTTGGCTTATGTACTACACTTTGAAGACAACAGTTCTGTTGAAGATTTCTGTCTTCTGGGTTGTTGCGCTGTGTAGTCTGGTCGATGTTAACCAATGTTTCAGAGGTCATACTATCTCCGTCATCAGGGCAACAACCCAGAAGACAGAAATCTTCATACTCACTGCTGTGAAAACCTCAAATCTTAAACAGTTCTGTTGTTTACAAGTCAGATGACTTGCAGTGAATCAAGAAAAATTCTGGCAGTTTTGCATAAGTTACTATTACATCCAAACTTACATGATGTCTGTGAGAGGCAGCTTCGTCTTTTCATCGTGCAAGTGAACAACAACAGAATTGAGTTTACTGCATGTGGAATATTTCCTTTGGACTTACCAACGTGGCATTCCATTGTTTCAGCTACCACTATGTACATTATAGTTTTTGATCAACTGAGAAAAAGCTAATGTAAGAAAAGATAAGCCATCACTGTATGTTATTACATTGTCCTTTAATTTCATCGAGTGGCCTTTTGCTGAAGTACAGTTCTGTAGTTTTCCTATTTACTGACCTGTAACGTAGGTTACCCTTGTCTAACTACCACAAATTATTCACCTCTCATGTTTAAAGAACTTCAAATTGGACAGAATTATCTGTATATGTATTTTTCATTTGAACAACAATAATGTAAAACACCAAGCACAGGTACTTACATGCTTTGTCGTGTAACAAAATGACGTTATCAGAACTTTATATGTAGTAAGAAACATAACACATAGGCTATGTAATTAGTAATATTATAATTATGTTAAAATATTATTATAATTATACAGTGTACACACATCAAATGTGTATTAATCTACTGTAACATTGCTCATGAACTGAAAGGCAGAGGAATGAAAAATAAATGCATTTGAGTAAATTACATGATCAAGTTTATAATTTGTGCTACTGGAGTTTCCAAGTCTTTCCACGTGAAGTGCTTTGATCATAGTTGCTAAAGTGGCATGTCAAGTAAAAGAATCCTAAAACCTTGCATTCCGTGCAGTGTATTGATATATAAAATCATGCATACAAACAAAACTGTTTACACATTAAATAACACTTTGTGCCAAACAAGTTTCAACTTCAAGAGGTCATCATCAGTGGCAAAACTGTAATTCATTAGTCTGTCTATTAAAATCATACAATTCATGAAACAATGGTTTGTTATAAAGCACTGAGCACTTTATAAAACCATACTTCATGTAATACTGCACTGAATGTTTAATTGCACATGAATTGGTGTATTATCTAAATTCATTTCAGCTTAATGTCCACTGGCCCAAGTTTTACTTGAGGTTTCGATTGTTGGTCTACGGTGAGCCATGGTTGTGTTGACTGTGCCTGGATTGTGAACTTCAACATTGTGTAGGTATTACTGTCAGTTCTGAAAAGTGTACAGGGTTTATAATTATTCTGACCAACCAGTGTGACTATCTATTGCATATGAAATTTAACTTTATTTCTCTTTACTATCAGGTCAAATAACACATTGGAGTCGTGGGTGTTCTGTTCATTTATGATGTTAAGCTTTTTGCTAGTTTTATAGGTGTTGAATTTTTCTAAAATGTCGAGCATTTTGGCTTTTGAGGCTAGTCTTAATACGTCCATGATATCTTCCATGGGGTCATATTGGTTCCCATGGTCGAGAATGTATTGAGCTTATTTTGATCTTTTTAAGTTGAATTTAATGTCTTGGACATGCTCTTTAAATCTGGTTTTAAATTCCCTACCGGTTTGGCCAATATAGACCTGCATGCAGATGCTGATATACACCACTGTTATTGTATTTATTATGATGTCTTTTGGTAAGTGTTCTAATACTAGTGCCAAAGAATGTGAACCTGGGCCATATTTTATTACTCGTGGTGGGTTGGGTACATTGATACGGGGTTTTGGTGTTTTGATTAGGTCATAGGATTTTTGATGTCTTTGGAATTATAACCATTATTGTATGCTATTTTTTAATAAGCTTAGTCTTTTATCATATTCCTCTTTGGCAATTGGTATTTTATGTAATCTGTTTACAAGGAAATTGAATGCTGCTTGCTTATGCGATTTAGGATGGTTTGATGTTTTATGTATTACTTTGTCTGAGAATGTGGGTTTCCTATAGATGCCTAATTGGAATTATTTTGTATGTCTATGGATGGTGAGGTCTAAAAAGATATTTGTTTTATTATTTTCTACTTCCATGTTGTATTTTAACTTGTTATGCATGTTGTTACAATCATCTAGAATGTGTTAAGCAGTGGTGAAAGATTCGTCGAAAATAAATATAACATCATCTATGTACCTAGCGATGTATTTTATATGTTGCTGCTTGATTATGTCTGGGTAAATTTTCTTTTCAATTTCCTGTAGGAAACCTTCGGCCAAAATACTAGAAATAGGGGAACCCATCGGTGTATCATCATCCTGCTGCCACCAAGTGTTGAATTCAAAATAATTTTGGTTAACGGTTACTGCAAGAAGGTCATATATCTCTCTTTGTAATTCTTCATCCCATGGTTGTAATTTAGTTTTTATAAGTTCTAATGTTTTTATTATTGTAATGTTGGTATATAAATTAGAAATGTTGAGCGTTATGAGCGTTTTGATTTTTTAACAAACAAATAAAACAAATCAATATACGCAGAGCAAGAAGTGCAACAGATTTTAATTGACAGACCTGATGATGATGAGATAACATCGAAACATGTCGTCAAATGTAAAATGTAACAAGATCTGTATCTAATGAAAAAATGTTATAATTTTAAGTAATTTTAACAACATTTTTAAGTTTGTGTAAAGACGGTAAATAAATTATTGTATTAATAAACACAAACATGACGCAATTAAGATATAAAATAGTACTTATATCTTCATATCTTTGTAAGAAGAATATGCAAGAAAATTTACCAGAAGTTTATAATATAGACATTAAATCTGTTACAAAATAGAATTGTAATTCCGATGTGTTATTTTGAAATTGAGCAACACTTATAACATTGTTTTTATAAGTTTATTTCACTGTTTTTGTTCAAGAAGTATGGAACATTATGTTAAAGTATGATACATGACAAAAATTAGTTATCTTGAAATTTTAAGAACTTGACAGCTTTTAAGACAGTTGCCTCTGGAAAGACTTTATATTTAATAATTTTAAAATATTTTAGTTGAAATGTGTTACATGACAAAATATCTGTTTGTTTAAAGTGTTAAAAGAAATTTGTTATTGTTTGAGAGATGTCAAGCTATTAAAAGAGATTTAAAATGCTTATACACAGTGTGCTACTAACAGGCATGTAAATATGTCCTTGAAGATTTCTGTCTTCTGGGTTGTTGCGCTGTGTAGTCTGGTCGATGTTAACCAACGTTTCAGAGGTCATACAGCGCAACAACCCAGAAGACAGAAATCTTCATACTCACCACTGTGAAAACCTCACATCTTACAAATCTGTCCTTGTTCCTCTACATAACAGTAATTGAATTATAGTTTTATACATACAATTTAAAGGAAGAAGAACAAAGTATTGTACACAAAATAACGTGAAACTTTCGTACATTTGACAGACAGTTTATGATGCTTCAGAAAATAATCATTTAAAAAAGCTTAATACGAAGATTTGGCTCATAATTCATCAGACTATTCTTGTAAAGAAGTTTTTCATTTACACTTTTTAATATAGTATGCATTGAAATACATATTCCTATACATGAGTGAGTTTCTCTTGTACAAGATGTGCAATTAATTCTCTAGTGATACCTAGCTGTGAGAGTACACTACAGACTATCACATAAACTGGAAGGTTATATGATAAATTTTGGACAACATCAAACACTTTGGATAATGGACCTATAACAGAGATAAAGCTGCAATGAAAGTCTGAACATCTTGTAGTGGTCTGTATCACATAAGGATGATATAGACATCAGTGACATTTTATTAGCAGCAATTTAATCACATAAATTATTAAGAAATTTCATAGAGAAACAAAGTAATATATCAAGCATTCTTCATCTGATACAGAATTATTATGTAAGTAGCAGCAGCTGCAACAATTGAGTGTAATGTTGACAGGTCTAGAGGAAATATTCCACATGCAGTGAATTGAAATTTGTTATCGACAATTTGTCCGGCAAAGAGACGTAGCTGGGTCTCACATTCTTGATCTACATTTGGATGCAACAATAGTTTATGTACAATCACCAATATTTCTTTGGATTTATTTTTCGTTACCTGGCTTGTTCTTAATATCATTGTTTCCTTTGCTGAATAAAATATAAGAAGACATATATTACGGATTACCAAGTTAGTGTCACTTTTCTCTTCGAGTGCTGTCAGAATATCACGCATGAGCCCAACAACCATTACAAAATTATGAGTTGTTTCTATCAACATTAAGAAACCATAACATGAATTTATAAGTTCTGCCAGCTCATATAACTTGAAATGAAGAGATCTCAAGTGGTGAAGTTTGTTAGATTGCTGTCGTGGTTGTGGGATGTCATGAATATTCCTGACAATGAAGACATTGTTTATTTTAAGATAATTTATTTCAGAATGTTCAAGTTCTTCACCAATATTTTTGCAACTGTATCTTAAGATTTCTAATAGGAATAGAAACTGGATGACTGCTATAGTGTTAACAAAGGATGCAATGGTGTAACTGAACTGGCACGCAAAGTTGTCCTTACCATTGTGAATTTTTATGTAAGAGTACAACATACAAACATGAAATCCACTGACAAATAGAACTTGAAATGAAAGTGAACAAAATGTTTTCTTATAAATATTTCCTGCTGTATTCTTCAGTATATTCTGTTCAATTTCAAGGATGTACTGCAAAATGTTTTGAACCTTGAGCCTATTTCTTGTTAATCCAAGTAATAATATAGACACAGAAAATGCAAATAGCCATGTTTTCTCAAATATGATTACAACAGAGGAACTTGCAGTATGATATTTAGTTTGCTGGAACAAGTAGATCAAATTGTGGATGTATCCTGCTACAACAAAGATGGTTACTGTAAGTGTCCAAATCGTAATTGGTGCACTAGGTCCTTTGATAACATATGTATTATTCAGTAATTCTACATATGAATATGGTGTCAGTCCACACAGCTTTGATATAAAATAAAGAGGTTGCATTGCTGAGAGAATATTGGCTTCTTTAAACATCATTGATTTTCTTTACTGCTGTCAGACTTTTTCCAGCAGAGATTACTGAAATGTATATAAAATTGTTTTATAACACCTTCCTGTGGGTTATATCACGTTCTTTACCTATAATAAGTTTCACAGGAACACAAATGTTAAAAATTGTTATTGAAAACAAGGTTAATCTCATGTCACAATAATGAAATGAATGTTTTAGAAGTATATCTTATTTTGTAATAAGCAGTATATCAGTTGACACTTTAATGACTGGGATGTGCTAACCACTAGTATATACTTTGATATATGAAATCCCATACTATTTTCTGGGTGTTCTAGTTGACCCAGAAATATAAAAATCTGAAGTCAGAGCAGTTCATACTATCACCATGCCTTATAAGTCCTCACATTTTACTGCCTTATCTCTTCATGAAATTTCACTGAAAAGCTTTTGTAGCCAAAGACGCATTTCACTTCTGCCTGTAGAATGGTAATATGACATGTGAGGGAGTTTTTAAACATAACTATGTAGTGTTATTATTTATAAATGTCAATGATCCTCTGAAAGACAGCATTTCATGTCTTAGCAAAGATTTCCATCGACCATTTGCCCTGACACATTATGTGCCAGTCTCTTGTTTCCCTTTGTTTCATATTCATAATGCATTAAGTGTTTGCATTAATGTTTCAGACTTAGGCTGCCTTCTATGGAAAATTTAATTCAACGTTGTGTTATATTCTCCATTAATTTAATTGATAAAAAATTCATGTACTTTCTCTGCAACAAGTCAAGCACTTGAAATTTTCAGAGTTTCAGAACAGAAGTGTTGTCAGCATACAACTGGTATCACAGTTCCAGTCATTCGTTATCTTTTTATGTTTGTTTGTATGTAGCTGTTCTCTACCTTCAATTAACTACAGCCACTTGTGCCATATGTCTATTAAGGAGAGACTTCTGAACCATGCAATAAGGACTGACAGAAAAATGGAGCTGACTGTTACACTTGGATGAGCTGGCTGTGCTCCCCCATAGGCAAGTTGCTAAGGTGCAGGACTGGTGTTGATGTGAAGAATATGTTTGTGAGTTCAGATCCCAATGTCTGCATTTTTTTAAACTTTATGATGCATTCACTGAAATACTAATTAAATTTTGCACTTCTGTATTATTGAACTATATGTTTGAAAACTTGTATAGACCTCATAGCAAGAGAAAATGGAAATGTATAATTCAGACCTTAATGTTCAAAAGAGATTTGTTACTTGTCTGTAAAGCACACAGAGTCCAGTAAATTTTTGTAAGTGACCAATGGGTAATCATCAGTATTATCATTTACATTTATCACTCAGTTGTGTGTGCCGCATTGGCAAGGCTAGAAGTGTAAAGGAAGCAAGTATTTATTTTGTTTCCAATGAATTGTTGTTCACTGGCATTCTGATTTAAAGTTCATGAATTTGAATTTTGACTGTCTATGAACAAGAACCAATGAACATAGCTATACTGCCTAGCATTTGCTGACAACAGTGTGTATCTCCGATGGGATAATGTCTTGTTTTCTGATGCATTAGTTCTGCAAATGATGAACTGGGTTTAGTTTACAGATTACAGAGAGAGTGTCACAACTCTCAATATATGTAACCCTACACATGTAGTGGTAGTGTGTTTATTAATTTCTGAGACTGCATCCTCCATGAAGGTTTTGGAACACTTCATCATATAGAAGAACACCTATATAGCCTTCACTTTAAGTACATCTTAAACACATAATGTTGTAGTCTGTAGGAGTGCTTTTGCTGATGGAGTAATTCAATTCCAACAAGAGGGCTCCTCCATCCATGATTCTCGTGCAGTTGAAGAATTGCTATTGTGACAGGCCGATGTCAAAACCATTGGCTGGCCACCACAAGCACTTGATATGAACCCCATCGAGAATATTTGGAGTGAAGTGAAGAAAGCCATGCAGAAAGCTTGTTCTTACCTCCCTGCAGGAAACTGCTATGCCATCTTAACACTTGCATCACTTGCTTGGGATTGGATAAAGTTCTTTTGTCTTTGCATTGTGTGCAATCTCGAATTGAGTTCATGCCAAGATGAGTGAGATCCATAGTTGAGGCTCAGAGATTCTCAAAATCTTAAAAACAATAATTTTAAGGGCAAACGTAATAAATCATATTTTGTATAAGTAATTGGTATACTTTCCAAAACAAAAATGCTTGTCTGTCAAAAATTAATTTCATGAGGGCTACTCTGGGATGGAACCTGGGCTGCCGAAGAAAGAAGCCATCATCTAAAATCCAGGGCTGTTGCATGATGACTTTAGATCACACTACATGCACGTTTTCTGGCTTTGATTTATCTGAGGGTCTTGAAGCAGATGTGAGAGAGATATCACAATTTGGTTCCTGTAAGATAGTTCAACCTTGCACCAAGAGATGGCATCAAAAATCAGTCATGTTGACAATATGCTGACATGCGCAGGTTCTTAATTGTTGGCATGGGAGAAGGAAAGCATATTACACAAAACCCTATGATTCACACAAAATTTTAATATCAGTGAAGATTGATCAATTACTTCCTTAGCAACAAAAT